TATGCAGGTTTTGGCGTGTTTGGGTCTTTTCCCGTGTAAGATTGAGAGTATCTTGGTGATATTTCAACAAGGTCTCACTTGCCATCTTCAGGCTGGTGTTTTTGGCTTCATGCTTGTGCGAGCAAAGCGTGATCGGAGCTGCTGTCTCTCTATAAATACTGGTGGGGAGGTGTGGTGTGCTGGCTCTGTTGTAAGTGGGCTGGTTGGCTGTGTTGTTATTTCTTGATTGGTTGATGGAATTAAAGTTTGCAGATTGGTTGGCTTTTTCGTAAGAACCTGTGTGGCTGAGGTACTGGCTGTGTGTCTATCAGCCTCCTGTGTTGTAACGACCTGGGTAATGGGCTGTGTGATGACCTTCTAAATTCTATTGTTGTGACATCCTGGGTCTTGTGCTGTAATCTCCTGGGTCGTTGGCTGTGTTGAAACATCCTGAGGTTTTGTGGTGTAACCTCCTGAGTTCTGTGATGTGATATCCTAAGCGGATGGCTGTGATGTAACATTCTGGGTTTTGGTTTGGCTCCAAGTTTGAGGTCTGGCTATATGTTCATGGCATGTGTCAGTTTACTTAGTTTGGGGATCAGGGTGTGTGGCAGCTGGTGATGCAGCCGTGGTCTGGTTTCTGAACCATCTATGGGATGGGAAGAATATATTTTGTACCTTCATTCTCTGGAAAATAACACATTCTGTAGGACTTCATGCCATGGTTTGAGATGGTTTGGAAACTGATGATCTGATTCTATTGAACAGTCATCAACCTCCTGTTGACTTGATATCACCAAAGCATGTATAAAATCAATGCCTATTCCCTATAGAAAGGAACATTTAGTTTCTGCTCCATTGATTAAGGCTGATTTGGGGCAATAGAATGGTCCATTTGCTTTGAAAAAATCATCATTCTGTCTATGATGAAATTAGTTGATTGGAAAGTTGCACATACTTGGTAGCACACAAATATCTTGATAATCCCAGCAGCAAGCTTCGCGTTCTGTACACTTGTTATCACAACTACAGTACGATAGCTCTTCACAGAATGTCTCATTACATCTGTTTCTGCAGCTTTCTGGATGAATAATCAAAGATAAATTTAAAAAGAGATAGACAAGTATTTCCATATCTTCTGAAAATAAACGTACAGGTTAATCACCCAAACATCATACACTCCCTCCCTCCTTGTGTGTGTGTGTACGTGCACGCGCACGCATGTGTGTAGAGAGAGAGAGAGAGACAACACTTTCATGTCAGACAGTGTCTACTGAGTGGACTCCAACAGAAGCTTCATACACCGCATAGGGCACTTCTTCATCTATATGGAAGTTTTATGCAATGAATTATATAAATTCCAACTCTGCCAGTAGCGCCAGAACATAAAATAGGTAAATTAGCTACTTCTCTACCATTTATCTTTAATGTTCTTTAATGTCCAAGGTTATTTTGAGTCACCAGAGTACTTAGGAATTAATTTTCATATCTCACTTAATCTTCTCATGCCTCCTCAATAAGCACACTAATGCAATTAATCAGTAACAGGCAGAGTGATATCCGTGCAGACTTAGCTAATAAACAGCTAAATTAATATTAATTGCTGTGACATCAGTTACCTTTTGAAGACCTAATTGTACCTGTGTCTTCACCCTACTCCATACTAGCATGAAACCAGGCACGATGATATAAATATGGAATTCACTTGATTTAAAAATCTACTGGGACTGAAGGCTTAAACTAGTTTGACCTTCATTTTTGGAGACTTCTGCATCCTGTTTTTAATGCAATATGCACAATCAATATTGTTAAGTATTACCTAATATGGCCATAGAGTGGAGTCGGTTAACACAGGGGTCCCCAACCACCGGTCCACGGACCGGTACCGGTCCGCGGAACAACTCCTACCGGGCCGCTGGCTTGCTGGGCGCCGCCATCTTTTTTTGATGAAAAGTGCTTCCGGTGAGCTTTTCCAGGTAGAAAGCTCACCGGAAGCACTTTTTCATCAAAAAAAGATGGCAGCGCCCAGCTGATGCCGGTACCGGGCCGCGGCGCCCAGCTGATGCCGGTACCGGGCCGCGGCGTAAAAAAGGTTGGGGATCACTGGGTTAACAGATTCCACTCATTGGCCCAGCCACTGGTGGGAGAAATAAAGCCCCGTCAGTGGTTGAAACCTTAGACAGCACCAGCTACAAAAGCAGGCACCAGCCACAGCTGAGCAGCTTTTTCTTAATTCACAAAATAAAAACTGTTACCAGTTCCTGCCATGTCCTGCCTCTTATTACCGTGGACCCATCTAACAAATATAGGGCAGACCACAGCCATATCTCACCAGTGAACAAAGTAAAAAATCTCTAACTCCTTTTCAATTTACTCAAAGGACCTCAACATGAGATGCTGTGATTCATTCTAGATGCATGGTCACACATTCTGAATATTTAGTCCCTAGAATTCTATCTTGATGTGTGTTTTTTTAATAACTTTATTCTCTTCCTCCTTTATGCATGCTAGGAATATTAATCCTACCCTATTATTTTAGATAAGGCTAAATCAAATGTGACAGATTTCATCCTTCTGCCTGTCCATCTATCTTCTCTCACTTAAATTTCATCAGGAACATTGTAGCACCAGGAGATGAGATGGAAACAGAGCAGTCCACCAATCATGCTACGAAGCAAACTCAGGTTTTTAGCTGAATAGTTCTGTTTCCCATCTGTTCTTGATCAAGCATTTTGTGTACCTTATCATTCATCTGTAGCAACTTCCTCTAACAACTTGTACAGTACTTCTTAAAAAGAGCTCTTAATGTACTGAAACTTAACATTTTAGATTATTCCAATCTGCAGTGCTCATTACTTTATGTTACTATAATTAAAGGGCTATCTAGTACTCAAGTCCAGTTTAGAGGTCATGAACAAAAAAAACAAAAAAAACCAGTAAGAGCTTTGGAGTTGCTAATTACCAAGAAAACTGAGTAGGCAACCTGTTGTCAGGTTCTGCTGAGTTGTGTTGAATTTCAGTTATTATTTCTAAGCATTATTAGACAACAGTGTCTGAGTCATCTAGGCTCAGATGCTAAGCAGAGTTTTGCATAGTTAATACAGAAGACTACCAGGAAATCCAGACCTGTAGGTCATAAGCTAGACTAGGAAGTTGGGGAGTGGGAACCATTGGAAAAATACACTTGTCTCCAGAAAAGTGATCAGGACTCAAAAACATTTTGATTTGTTCATATTTTTTAATCAGTCTATGTCTCTACGTTTAAATTAGCATATAGAAAAATATATATGAATGTTTGTTTCCACACAAAAATCAATACACCACAGCTGGCATTACTTAACTCAGGGGTCCCCAAACTTGGCAACTTTAAGACTTGTGGACTTCAACTCCCAGAATTCTGGAGAATTCTGGGAGTTGAAGTCCACAAGTCTTAAAGTTGCCAAGTTTGGAGACCTCTGACTTAACTAATCTTAGCTGATGTCTAAATTCCCCCCAAGTTTTTTTTCTAACATAATTGATTGAAAGGGAGCAATAAAATTTTACAGATATCCCACAATTATCTCTTATATTATTGATGCAGAGAGTTTTCAGCCTTTTACTCATGGTCTCTGTGTGAATGTGTAAAGAAGCTGCTGTCTTAGTTGGTGAATAAAGACTGTCCATGTGGCCAGGATGTGAATATCTTTCAAGCTTTCAGTTCAGAAAGGTGAAACTTTATTGTGAAAATTGAGACAGGTGACCAACACAAATCTCATAGGCCTGGGAAATAAAATAAAATAGAATAGAATCCTAGAAATCAGGCACAAATGATTTCAATAGTGTTATCAAGAAGAAGAACAGATAGGCATATAAATGCTGTCACCACAAGTTAAGCTTGAATCCAAGGAATCTTTACCTGAAAAAGGCTAGGTACAGCTTAAATACAGGTATATCAACTCAATGACATGGCCTTTTCTTAACCCTTTTGGTTCAGTTGAAGTAAACATACCTTGTGGTTGCTTAGATTGTTTCAGTCCAAGCCCTAAACCTAGTCCAAGGGCTACAGCCACCAAAGAAATGAAAAGAACCTATTAACAACAGGATGAATACATTAAAAATACAGCATGTTGTATTTACATTGTCCACAAGAAAACCAGCAAAAAGAAATAATACATGTTCAACATCAAGGTCCTTAGACTTAAAAGGATATATCTTTCAAAGCAAAGGCCTGCTTACCTCACAAAATTCAGTGAGTTTTGAGTGAACCTTCTTGTTAGTGTATCAATGATTTATCAAAAAAGATGTTGGGTTTATTTTTAGAATCCCATGATACAAAGAAAAGGGAGGGTTAAGTTACCACCAGTGCAATTAAAATAAGTACAAACTAATCCAAGATTTTGCTTTTATCTTATTTTATAATGGGAGTTTAACTAAACTTTAAACTGGATTCAGGCTTAATAGGGAATTTTGATTTGTTTAAAAAGTGTGCAGATAATTTCACTTTCTTTGTAACTACCAAAGAAAATGGTAGTCACTAAGTTAACCTAGTGAGACCAAAGTGTTATATGACTCCAAAGCACTGAATTACATTGGAACAATTTCTATTTTTCTCACAAATAGGAAAAACAGGTGAGGTGAGCCTAATATCTTTAAAATAGCCTACAATTATGATAGTCAGAGATGGTCCCAAGATCTAGCCAATCTTGTTTGACCTCCAAAAGCAATCTTGTTTGACCTCCATAATCAGAGTTTAGCACAGTACCTGGGTATCCACTAACCTATGGAATAGTCCAGAACTATAAGTTGGAAGTCAAAAATTTTCCCAGAATAAGGGAACAGCAAACTACTTTCCTAATATCAACAAAATTATTTCCTTGTGTGCATATAGCTACCAGAAGTCAAGTTCAACTGAAGGAAGACTTTATCTTTCTTAAATCCAGTATGTCTTTTCTATAACTTTACAGCAAAATATCTTAAATATATTTTCAAGCTAGACTGTATCTTAAAAGAAAAATATCTTAAAAGAACACAAAGCAGGAACTAAAAAATGATTGCCCATGCATTTTACAATGGAATATAATTTTTCAGATGTCTGAACTAAATCAGTTAGCACACCTAAACATTTTTAAAAACATTTCTATTTGTTGAATGATGCATGGTACTTTTTCAACTAACAGGCAAACATTATGTTTCTTTCTTATTTTTAAGCAAATTTTATTTCAGTTTTCCACATTTTGAAAATGTCTCTTTTTAGTGAACAGCATAATTCCAGGTTTCCACCTTTACAAATATGATCATAATTACATATTCATCTTTTACATTCAACTTCCTATCTTAACAATGCTTTTACATATTTTCTATTTATTATATTATTCAGGATGCTTTCTTCTTATTTGAATCATAAGTAATTCTCATATCTTCATAATTATTATACTTTAATACTTTTATCTGTCATATTTGCAATTTCATCGCATATCCTTATTTCACCCTTTCATAAATTCTAATTTCATACATTTAAACAAAACAATAATTGCCCCCCTAAATTACTAATTTAAGTGTGCCACCCCTATAGTTTACATATTCATTAATTACCTCCCCTTTAAATTACCTAACTTTTATTACCTAAAAATTGATAGTAATAATCCCTTAAGACTACATGGTTTATATACCTTTTAAATCAGATTCTGCATGGTTTTTCCCCCTCTTAATTTCATAAAATTTATTTACAATTTCAAAAAAAGAACAAGTGAATCTATCTAATTAATCCTAAATTTAATTAATTAAATTAATTTATTATTAAATTAATTAAAATATTAATTAATTAATATTAATTCCAATTCAGCCCTCCTCATTTCAGTTATTTCAATCTATTTAATAAGCATATTCCATTAGTTATTCCATTCATCTTTATACATATAAGAGAAAGAGCATACATTCCAGTACCAATAAATATCAGTTTCATTTTCCATCCTAATAATCTATATATCCTTATTTTCTACACTATTTATAACTTTAAATATCTTTATGCTACCCCTCATTACCTTGCATAATCCCCCAATTCTTAATCAGCCATTGTCTCTGTGTCTTCTAAATAAACAATTTCTTTTCATTTTTTTACAGTTCCCATATTTCTTTGTTTCCTGCTCCTGTTTATCACTTCTTTTCCCTTTCATTCTCCCCTTTATCCTCTCACTCCAGTTTTTATCCCCCTCCCTGTTTATAACTTCCTTCCACCCTTTGATTTTCTGTTGTTTTTTGCCTTTTTTACTTTTACAGATATTCCCCTTTTTAATTACCTTCTTGCATCTCATTTTTATTTCCTACTCTTTACACTCTTCTTTTTAAGGTTTTTTGTTCCAGATGATAGTTGAAAATGGCCTCTTCTGTAATAAACTCCTCCTCCTCCTCTGGCATTTGTCTTTGTTGTTCATGTTCTCAGATCGCATTTTCCAAAAAAATTTAAAGCAAAACTGAATGATCCACCTCTCTCTTGTAATGTTTCTTTCATGTCTCTAAGTTCCATTTTTAATTCCAGAAGAGATACTGCCATTTTACACATTTCTGTCTGTTAATTTAATACAAGTAATATCTATGAAGTTAATTTCCAAAAATCAGCTTTTGTTTTATTCCTCTTGGGCTTTTTAATTCACAAATAGTCCAACACCAAGTCCATGCCAAAATCAGCAGTTAATTCCAAGGCAGATTCTTCTTACTTCTTTCTTTGTTTCAATGTTTTAACTTTCCAAAATTCTTGTTTTATTGTATCAATATTCCTTAAAGTTCTTTAAGAAACAGTATCCTTTAAAAAAAACAAGTTAAATTTTTGGCCACAAGATGGCACTCTTTGTTATATCAAATCTTCACACACACACACACACAAACACACAAATCCCCCCCCCTTTAAAAGTTCTTCTATTCAGGGCTTTTCAAATCACAATCTTCCATTCAAATCAAATCTCCAATTAGTATTTTAATTTTTTTCTTTGACACTCTCAAGTCCAGCCTTATTAGTGCCTATTTAGTGTCAAAAATATATTTGTCCAAATTAACTAAATGTCTTCTTCTTCTTCTTCTTCCGGCTTCTACCTTTCACAGTTCAAAGCCCCACAGCTGTCAAAAGCATTTTTCTCCTTTTTTCCCCTTGTATCTCCGCTGCTTTAATTCCTTTCTTAAAAATTCTTAAGAATTAATCCTGGGGTATCTTTCATTTAATTGTAGCGTGCCAATTCTCCCGGTTCTCATGCTGTCTGCTTCTTCCTCTCTCCTGCACAATCTTACTCCAGCTGATTCTTCCCCTTGAGGGTGGCCATTTTACACCACCACTGCAGTTGTCTTGTGGCTCCCCTCGACCTGGCTGGTGTTCTCCCCTTCCTCCGCCACCCCTACAAGGCGGCTTCTGCCCCAAATCCGGACAATCGGGGCTCTCTGATTAAAGAGCATGGACTGAAGCCGTGGACGATCATGGTGTCTGGCTTATCTTCAGGGAAGTTCAACCGGAAGCTCCAAACATTATCTTTCTATTTAAGTGAATAGAGTTATATACTACAGAACCAGGAAATTCTATATGTGACCTTTCTCCAATGGTATATTCACAATAAATATTTCTGCTGTAGCTACTTAAGTTTAAACAAATAGTATTTCCTCTCTCTATGTAAATTAAAAATAATTATTATTTGCTGTATAAAAGGAGAGGTGTAGCTATGAGTGACAAGTCATCATAGTTTCAGGTAGAACCATGCAGTAGATCATAATGCCATTCAAAATCTGTCAAAGAACAATGGATAAGATATACAAAAAGAACAATAAACTCCCAGTCTATGAACTGCATCAGAGAAATTAATGCCTATTCTGAAATGCCAAAAATGACAGCTAATTCTTATATAGGGAGGGTGAATTTGGGAGTAATTGACTATCCACTTATGCTCAGTGTTTACATTACAAAATACCAGAAGCATAAGAGACTCCCTTTCCTATAATAAGGAAGCCAGTCTTGGATAAATTTTCCCCAGAAATACCTCACTTTCCAGATATACTAAATTACAACTCCCATCATTTCAGAAGGGACCATGCTGGCTAAGAATGGAGGGAGATGTAAACAAAGACACCTGGAGAACCATAAGTCCAGGTAAAACTGCATCAATTCATCTGTATTTTAATTCGGTTTTTCTTTTTGGTTTGAATACAATTTTACAATCTGTACAATAATATGTTACAACTAGCCAATCCATGACCCATTAAACCATCCTTCTTTTCACATATGTTTCCCCTCTCCTCACGACCCTTAGTAGAGCCCTGGTGGACTCCTCCTCTTCACATAACTGCCTGCCATATTGCTGGGAAAAGGGAGAACAAAGGGAGACATATAGCATGAGGACAACTGTACCCCTGGTCCCCACTCTGGTGTGTCCCCAATAGGACCGTAAGCACAGTTGTGGTTACACTTGGTGATCGTTTCATTTTATGACCAAGTTGCTGCTCCCAATTGTGCTCAGTAAACAAAGATTACTGCAATTCTCTGCTTTTTCTCAGAGGAACAATCAGGAATATTTGAAAGATCACTGCTAAAATGTTGGATGGGGTGATGGTGGGGCTTCTACTTTATTATTAAAAGTCATGTCAGAAAGAGATCAGCTATTCTCTTGGCTAATTCTGATGAATATTAAACTGTGATGCATACATGTGTATGATCGACATACCAGATAATCCCCTGCATATGTGAACTTTGATTGATCATGCTTGAACTGTATTATGGCATTACCATTCCTGGTATCTTTACTTGAAAGTAAATCACTTAAACATTAACTTTCTTTTGAGGAAGCATATTTCAAATTAGGGTACAGCTATGATATGTTCCAATGAAATTCCTCTAAAATCAACTCAACTTTCTAAATAAAGTATTTAGAATTGCGGTAGGGTACAGCTATGATATATTCCAATGAAATCCTCTAAAATCAACTCAACTTTCTAAATAAAGTATTTAGAATT